AACGCAAAAAGCAATGATACAGATGGACAGTTCGACTTCCCCAAGTCGGACAACCATACTCTTTACATTTCGTTCATTGATTGGTAATGACATACGTCAGGAAGAAAAACCCGTGCAACTGCGAGAAAGGGGGAGTCATCGTCAGCCTTGCCTGAGATTACTGCTGTTGGTACTTTCTTTCACTCAGACTACAAATACAGAGTACTTTCGCCTCAGAAAAAATACTGTGGGGGTTCTTCACCTTTCATTCTGATAAGCAACCTACTTTTAATCTAATAAACATAAAAGATGACAGGACCTCGTCCCTCTTCCCACCCCGCTCGCCCCTCGTTCTCTTTCCTCCTCCAATGTGGGTATACCCTGTTAATGATTTACTGGGATGTTTCCATACGCCAAACACGGCTCTGTCGATTTCATCAGTTCTGAGCTGCATATTTCTAGTTAGTACATACCGCCTTTTCCTACACATATGCACCAAATCTTCGGTGGTCACCCATGAAGTCTTACTAATACGTACAGTCTTTAGTTCACTTATCCTTTCCCTTCACTCTGTGGTGGAAATGCCGACAGCTCAAAAATGAGGGAATTGTTCTCGCAGCAGTTCTCAACTTCATACCCGTTTCACAAACTTTGAGGTAAAAAATTCTGCCATTAGTAAAGGTTGCCTTGTTCACACGAAAATGAATTGACTGAGGTCCGAATACGACGAACGAGGACAAAAGGTGGACATGAAAAAAAGCAAGGCAGAACGGTGAACAGCATCATAGGAAAAAAACGTAGATAAACGGAGATATATTAAATGCGGTGTACAAAAACCATGGGATTTTCATCTTCAGGACATCCGGGAGCGAATTCTGGGAGCATCCGCCACGCCACTGCACTCTCATGAGAAAAAGTAATGGCGCGCACTAGAACAGCTTGCACAATCATGCGTTTTGCACACTTCTGTTCAATAATAATTTGTCTGCTAAAGATTTTCACTACTCTGCATCTTGTTCTGTGCGAAAATAGTTGAAACGTCGTCAGGTGCCTATGTTGCGAAGTTCACGTGCCAATATGTGAAAGCTGAATTTGAAACTTTGGACTGTGAACATTTTATCTTCCTAATTTTATTGCTCTTGAGTGGTTTTCACGCCAAAAATTTGCATGATCGAACGTAAGACCCAACACAATTAGGAACTAAATTTGAGTTTGTGAGCCTTGTAATTATGCAGAAAGCATCCTCCTGAAATTTCCAACCTTCTAGCTTTTATGGTTTCCTGGATAATAATTTCCTCGTCAAAATTTTCACGGGACTGTGTGTGA